GACCAGGTATCTGGTTGGGCTGCCCAGGAGCTAGAGAGATATAAATATATGTGATACAATCAAATTTTAATAAATTAACAAATTATGAAAAAAAATCTGGGATTTTATTGTATAAATAATTACATACAGGGATAAATTTATCTAAATGTATACATATAAAAATACATCTATACATAAATAGATGTTGACATGGAACTTAGTGAGAAGAGCCCCTGCCTTTTAATAAAGCATGATAGAGGCTGTTTCCCTTCTGGTAGAGCTCTGGCATTATTCTGAAGCAGTAGTATTGTGTTGGGAAGCTAGATCTTCATTGGAAGGTAGATTTCATGAGAGTGGTTGTTAACCCAAAATAAAAAGGCTGAGGTTTTCTGGTATTGTTTTTTAATCTTAATTTAGAAAAATAGCTCAAAACTTCTAAAGTTGTCCTTATTTCTGATTTTTTTTTTATTTAGAATATTCCTGTACTTTTATTTCAGCTGTATATTTTGTATATTGCTGTAGAACTGCACCATGTGTTTCTCAAAGAGCAGGTTGCTTGTAAGATTGTGATGGGGCCAGTCTGCTTTTGCTCAGAAATGACTTGAGACAGAAGTGAGCTCATTATTTCTCCATACCTGAGATGAATAGGACTCTTCCTTCCAAATAAAAATTGCTTTTCTTTTCTGCTTTACATTTGTTCCTTTTCTTTTATTAAGATCAGGAAGGATAAAACTGGGAATTTTTATAAGTTATAGAAAAAAAAAATCACTTAAACTTGGTTCTTTACCTGTGTTCATTTATTTCAATTTACTTTATATACTGTGTTRCAAAATACTAAGTTTCAATGCCTTTGCATATTTCATGATAGACACTAACTCGGTAGGGTTCATTTTGTGGATGAAGGCTTCAAGGCTTGAACAGCATTTCTCTACCTCTGGAGAACTTCCCCTTCCAAGAGTGGTAACTTGGATAGAAGGGCTTCCATATGAACTTCTGCGTTTAAAAGGTCCACAGAATTGATGATTAAACTGCAAATAGTAAGATACTTTCCCCAAGAAGGACATTGTCTCTCTAAATAAGTTTTGTAATGTGAGATAAAAGCAAAGCTGGTACATATCCGGATACTGGGAATATGTGAATGGGCCCAGGAGAGAACTTAAGTATGAAGGATTTATTGTATCCCTGAAAATGCCATCTGCTGTAATGTTCTCTGCAATCCAGTAGCCAGTTCTTGTTGAGACTTTGAGAGACGTACAACCACCTACCCATGACCCCTACTCAACTCCACTGTGTGCAGGCAGTTGGAGTTACAGTTCCTGATGGAGGTTGTTACCAGTTTAATTCTCAGTCATGGAGAGCTCTATTAATTTTCAAAACAATGTAATCCAAAGAGGCTATCAGGAAGAAAAAGCATTATGAAAATGGGATAAAAATAGAAACCAGCCTATTGTAATTTAAACCAAGTACATACCTCAAAACATAATTTCTCAAGTAGCTATTAAACTGTGGGGCATGTGTTGGCACCCATAGCTGCTCACCAAGAAACTTAATGTCTCGTGTCTCTAATCTAACCTTTAAACATTTGTTTTCAAATGTTTCTTGCGATCTCTTGGCTCTGAAAGTCATCACCTTACTGAGCGCCTTCTGAGTGCCCAATACAGATCCTGTGTATGAAGCTGCTCTTACAGCAATGTGTGTCAGAAGCCTCACCTCTATTGTAACTAAAGTCTGCTTTCATTGAAATGCTACTGCCTTACTGTTTTCATTTTTTAACTGTTTTAGCATACCTATTGGATCATCTGAAAATGTGTTTTAGTATCTTGGTTCTCGAGAATATCTGGTTCTGGAAAAACATCACAAACTCTAAAGCAGAACTTTTGAACACACTTATGTACTACTAGGCCTGGTTTTCAGTGAGTTGATGAAATTTATTAATATTCATTTTACCCTAGCTATGATATCTTTTAAATTATTTATCTTTACCATTTAATGATTGAATTTGCTAAAAAAATACTTTTAAATATTCATTCTTATATTGTTATAATTAATTATTTGGCAAAACCAAAATTTCCACATGAGAAAATAAGTTTATTCTCTATTGTTTAGACAAGCTTGATGTATTCCCCCAAAGCTTGTGTGCTCTTTAAAATTAGAAAACATACTTCAGCTAATTGGAAAGAGGATGTAATTACAATTAAACTAATTTTTCTTGTAATCTCATCCAAAACCTGAACTCTTTTAATACCCTTCTTTGTTTCCCTACTGGTAAGGGCCATATAGTGGGCTGATTCCTTTTATAATTTTGGCAGCTGGGCTCTCACTATCTTTGTCACAGCAATGTTATGGTTCAGGGCTTCCACCAGTTTTGGTGTCATTCCAAAGGAACGCTGGTGAATTGATTTTCTTTACTCTTCTTTTCCATCATGAAGCATCTCTAGGATACGTCTCCTCAAGAAAATAATAAGGCAGTGTCTGATGTTAAAAGGATAGCTCTGGGGCAGAGAACATTTCTTYGCAGACAAGGATTGTGTACTTCTAGAACAGCATGAAAATTTACTCCAAGATGGTCTTCGTGGTTTTTTGCCATGTGGAGTGATGTGATAATGGTTGTGTTTGCATGTTATTTTTCAAGCAGACAAGCACTTGATTTATATGGATTCTAAGCTGACCAAAAGTTGTTCAGCTGGAATCAGTGCTGTCCTGGGCTAATAAACCCTGATTTACAGGCACGCATATTCTGTGGTCTCAAGTCAAGCTTTGTGTGAGAGCAGAGCAACCTGKTTTTTGCCTGTCAGCCTTTTGGAGACATACCCTGAGAATGGTCTCTACTTCTGCCTGGCAGGGTCAGCAGCARTGCAGCAGCAGTGCTGCAGCATTGCACTTGCATTGCCAGGGCCATAAATGGGCATTTGTGGGATGCTGCTGGCCGGGCGCAGCGCCATGTGATTTGGCAAATGCAGATAAAAAGGTCTCAAGACATGGCACTCCTACTTGCTTTCAGCACATGTTGGATAAACACAGGAGTGTTGGAGACAGCTAAGTTTCTTCTATATTCAATACATCATTTACAATGCTAAATTTCCCACTTTGTTTTTTTACCTTAGTCTGTCTGTAATACATCAGAAAGAATTGAGGTGATTACGATGAAAACTAAAATAACTATTATTTAAAAATAATTTTATAGCTATTGGACAGTAGGTCTACAAATATTCCAGCTGAAGATGCAGAATAAGGTGAAAATAGTAATCTTACAGGGTTTTCTCTTCCAGTGAGAGGTGACCTGGACTGTTTCTGTCATCAGCTAAGAAAGTTGAATGATAATGAGAACTAAAATTGTGTTGTTTAAACCTTTTAAATAAAGGAGACTTAAGCAATTTCACAAAAAYAGAAGTTTCAGCCTGTGTCCTGTGGAGTGAAGACTTGAACTGATAGGGATTTAGTCTCKATTGTCAGCATTAAAAAATGAAATATAAAATTTACAAGTGAACTGTAACATTTTGATGTTCTTGTTGCTAATTTAATTAAAAAGAAAAAAATTAATCTCCTTTCAAGTGCTGCCATTTATATTGTTAGTGAAACATTGCTAGAATTGAACCATCTTTACAGCAACAATATAAAAATGCATCTGTTAAGTAACTGATTTTTCAATTTTCTGCCCTAAAAAAGCTTGCTCGCCTTTTTCTTATCTAAGCAATCTCGTTTGGCCTGAGATCATAAGCAGAATTATTGTCAGCAAGCATTTTCTGGGAAATGTAGATGGTTGGAATATCAACATTAATCTTCAAGCGGAAAATATGATGTTATTACCATTTCTAATTTTGTTGCTATCAACAAGAGTATATTGTTGTGCCAGAATCATACATTCATATGCCATGCATTAAGCAAACTGCTTCTAAAATTTCTGCTTAGATGACCTAAATTATATATAAACAATGACACACTTGTATACAATAAAGTATTTATATATTAAATATACAGAAAAGGTATATGTGCATATGCTGAAACTTCGTGGATACTGGAGTATTGAGATAAAGTTATGTTTTCCAGCTGAAAAATGACAATTTTTAAGCAAGTCAGTCTGATGATAAACCACACAGTTAATTTTGAGCTTAATGTCTTTCAAACAACTTTATTGAGATCAAAAAAAAAAAAAAGGCAGCATATGATATTTGCTTCACTGCTGAACATTTTGCTTTTGTCTTTTTCTTTCCTTTTTTTTCTTGATTATCAGTTTTGAGTGCTCCTGCATATTAATTTTTTTTGTCTCTATTCTTCTTCCAGTGAATTTCTGCATTTCTGAATTAAATTCTTACTTCCATTTGAGTTGATTGTATATAATGCCTCAGAACCACATTAAGTAKCTACTAAGATCTGTCTCAGGACCTACAGTTAAAAATACAACTGGGGATCAAAAATGGGTCTAAAAACCTGGGAAAGCTCACTTCATACTTCCCTAGGTTACAGATGTTTCTCAGAAATCATTGCTTATCTACAGATACATGGTTGGTTCTACCAGAGAAGCTGGTCCCAAGCACCTCATTAACAGTATGGCTGTAATTATGTCTGTCTGATTGGCCCACAGAGACTACAGCAAAAATTCAGCCGCGGCTGATGTTGTCACTGGCTAARTATTTCAGCCTTATAATTGAACAAAAAGGAGAAGAAACTAAAAGAARCCTTATTAAGGATTTCACTACTTTTACCTTTAATTCCATTATCTGGATTATTCCTCCTTTAAAATATCATAAGTGCTTCACATTGTCATATAATTTACTTTTTAAAAGAATTGATTATTCTGTTAAATTCTATTATGCATACCCCTTTTCCTTCATCCTGACAAAAAATGGGCCTTTGTAGCAATGTTTTAGGTCTGAAGAAATGGGGCTATACAACTTAAGTAAATATTTTGAACTTTCCCTGTCTTTTGATTTTCCTGGACCATAGATCACTGGAACTTTTACCTCCTCCCCAGCCAGCACTGTATGTCTGATCATCTTTTTGTCTATTTTTCCTTCCCACAGGGACCCCAAAAAAATACAGCAGCTGCAGAACCAAATTCGTCTGGAGCAAGAAAGTGGACAGTGGTATCATCACCAACAGCAACCTGATCATCAGCAGCACCCTCCCTCTTCTCCTTCCTTTCCTCCTCCCCCCTCCTTCCAGGAGCTTGAGTCCAGCCAGTCTGTTACCTCTCCTGTGCCAATGAGTATTCTTAACTCTCATACTTCCCCAACCATGCAGTCTTCTGGCTCCTTCAACTATGCTCGGCCTAAGCAGTTCATTGCTGCCCAGAACATCAGCCCTGCTTCTGGTTATGTGACTCCATCTTCTGGGTCATCTACATCTAGTCTTCCTTCTCCTATGTCTCCAACTGCTTCTCAGAAACAGTTTGGGAGAGTGCCAGTTCCTCCCTTCTCTCAGCAGTTTGCTCCAGAAGGGGAATATGCCTGGTCTCCTTCTTCTCCCTCCCCTCCGCCCCCACCTCCCCCTGTCTTTAGTCCAACAGCGACATATCCAGTGTGTGATTCCTTTCCACTTCCACCTCCTCCACCCCCTCCTCTTCCTTCACTTTCTTCACCTTCCCACAGCCTGTCTCCAACTCCAAGATTTCCTAATTCCAGCCAGTCTCCAGCAGCTTTTCTCAGCTCCATGCTGCCATCCCAGCCACCACCCATTTCTGTCAACGCATTAGGCCTCCCGAAAGGAGTGACGCCTCCGTAAGTATCAGCTGATGAGCTCCTTSGTGTACTGGAGATTCTAATGAAGATTGTTGCACTTGCTTCATTTACATTTTTCTAGGGTCCTTTGCTGTTAGCCGCTCTCTGAGASGGAGAGATGTGTGAATAAATTGCAAATGCTTTTGTGCTAGAGATGTGAGATGATAGTTTTCTAACCCTCACAGAAGTGACATTATGAAAGAGCCCTACAGTAGGAGCACAAAAGATGAGAAGCTAAAGCTTTAACCTTAGTTGAAGAAAATACAAAAGCAGCAGCAAAAGGTTCTGCAGGCCCAGAGCGGTAGAAGGAGATCAAAGAAAACCTTCTCATGGCTCCGTTTTYTTTAAAGTCACTTATTCAATGATATTTGCAGTTTGTCTTCCTATTACATCTGCAGGGAGAGAAATATCAAGAGAGTATCTTTCAAGAGAAGTCCCTATAGCTTTGTGATACTGAAAATACAAGGTATTAAAGTATACATCTGTTAACAAAGCGGTCGTCACAATTCATTGGCTTTGGCTGGAGATTTTGTTCTGAGGAAGTTTGGGAAAGTGTTTAGCAGGGGAATTTATAATGGCAGTGCATAAAAACAAACAGAATCCCTATCCCTGACAACTTTACATACTTATTTTCCCCTTTTGTCTTGTCTAAAGGCTAAAATAGTACTTTGGAGCATGTCAGCTCCCATCATAGATCAGTTTGTCTTTCCACTGGCACTAGACTCTCATTCCTTCCTTGGAGAACAAAGAGACATGCTGAAGAACAAAAATGAGAATAGCTGTATCCAAGGCTTATTTATAACTTTGTCCAGAAGTTTGTCTAAACATATCTACAGTATCTAGGTGACTTGCTCAGCTACATGCTGTTGCAGTGGGAACTTCTGTTATTTCAGTCCAAGGAAGAGAAGGAAGAAAGAGGACAGATATCAAAGTAATAAGTCATGTATATGCTTTAAACAGCATTTCTTTATCTTGATTTCTGTCATTATGGAGTCTGGCTATGAAACTTTTTTAGAAGAAAAATTATGAAATAGTGCAGTTTGCCCTTGCAGTCATAATAGCTGTGATTTTCTGTTTTACTGTGTCCTTTGCACTGAGTTTCATTGTTGATACTGAGCACTGAAAATTGCATTATTAATTTACTGACAGCTTGATTAGTAAGTACAACCCKCCAAAGCCTGTTATTACCCCTGATTTTCCAAGAAAAGGCTCTAGTCCAACTGTACAGTTCTGACAAGAACTGGCTTCCTTTTTGAGTTCACTTTTGTATGCTGTGAGGGTGATAGCAGCAGCTTGAGTCTCTGCTGTGTCCCTCTTTCCCTGGTATGCTGTGCTTATGGATACATGTTCTCACCTGAAGCATTAGCTGTGTTCTTCCTCCTTCCCTCTGATCTTTGGACAGAAAGACAACTCTGCAAAGATTTTTTCCCCCTTCCCCATGCTCCTCACTTCCCCAAGCAGAGCAGCCAGTCTGGCTGTGCACATGATGGTGTGTCTATCCATATTCCTCCCTCCCCCACCCCGACAAGACAGCAACCTCAGGGTCTGAGCTGAGGGTGAGGTAGTTGGCTGCTTTTCTGCATTCCCTCAGGAAATATAGTCCAGATGGGAGCTGGATCATGTTAACTATACTGAATGTATATGTTTATAATTTATGTGTGTATAGATATGTGTGTGTGTGTGTGTGTATACACAGTGAGCATTTGTCATCTGAATTATAACATTAAAACATGGTAAAATATGTACTGTGCAATGCAAAAAAAGCCATAATCTATTGCACTGTATCTTTGATACCAATTTTTCCCTGGCTTCAACTTTTTCGTGTAAGTTACTAATGTCTGGTGTGCCTTGCTGAGTAAAGCACAGTTTCTCATAATTCTCATACCCCTCCTGGGCAGTTCTTCCCCTGGTCTCCATTCAGCCCTCAGCTTTAGGTCTGCTTTGTGCTATAGTCTCAGTTCTTTTTTTGGCCACTTCCACTTCTTTTCTTCTTTTTCTTTTGCTTCATCCTCTTCAGTGCATTTATCTTTCCAATACATAGTTTCTGAGTTTCTCACAGCATTTCATCAGCTCAGCCTGTAGTCTTATTTTGCCATGATCTCCAACATCTATTGGTTGAAAATGATGATACTGTTCCCTGACTGTGTCTGTACAGACTGAGTGCAAGGAATAAATTGCAGCATTCAAAGTTTTGTTCAGCAGCTGAAATCCTAGTCAAGGTGTTTATCTTCAAAGACTCCATCATTACTAAGTCTTGGCACAACTACACATCTGCTTCTCAAAAGCAGAACTTGGTAGGCGTAATTCTTTTTTTTTTTTCAGTTTCATGCTGTGGTGGGARTAGAATAAGGGTGCAAAGTAATAAACATTGCAAGTGGAGGTAGTTATTTTTGGCAATGGTCAAAGGCAGCACCAGTAAAGTTCTCTGTGGCTGTGTACAAACCAACAGTCTTGGTTTCTCCTCATGAAGTCAAACCTTCCTTTCATCAGCTTTCTTTGGGCATTTCCTTCCCTGCATGCATCAAGACTCCTCTTGATGATTTTTGAACTGTTTTGGGAATCTTGAGGGGTCCCAGTTGACCAGAGGGTAGCTAATGTCCCAGTTTTTGAGAAGAGCAGGAAGGAAACTACAGGCCTGTCAGTCTCCTTTCAGTGCATGGTAGAATTATGGAGATTACCCTTGGAATTATTGAAAAACACCAGAAGGACAATGCAGTCATTGACCAACATGGCTTCATCAGGGGAAAGTCCTGTTTGAGCAGCTGAATTTCTGTTTATGACAAGGTAACCCACCTAGCTGGCCACAAGAAGCCTGTTCACGTAACCTCTTTGGATTTCAGTTAAGCTTTCTGTACTGCCTCTCATGGTGTCTTTCTGGAAAAATGTGCAGCATTCAGCTGTGATGGGTGAGCAACTGGCTCACATGTCAGGCACAAAGAATTACAGTAAATGGGGTTACATCAGGCGGGCAAACTGTCACTAGTGGGGTTCCAAATGGCTCAGCTGTAGGACCAGTGCTCTTCAAGGCCGGCATAAGTGACCTGGACACAGGATTCAAAGGAATACTAAGTTGAATACTAAATTGGAGCAACTCTCAACTACATCGAGGGTGAAGAGGCCCTACAGGGAGATATCTTGACAAATTGGAGGGCTGGGCAATCACCAACTGTATGAAGTTTAATGAAGGCAAGGGCCAGATTTTGCACCTGGGATGGGGCAACCCTGAGTCCAAGTCCAAGAGGATTGGGGAATGAGAGACTGGAGAGCAACCCTGTAGAAAGGSATTTGGGGTCCTCGTCAACAGAAAGTTGAACATGAGTCAGCAGTGTCCTGGCAGCCAGGAGGGCCACTCGTGTCCTGGGGGTCATCAGGGACAGCATCACCAGCTGGGCAAGGGAAGGGATTGTCCCACTCTGCTCTGACCTGGGGCGGCCTCACCTCGAGTGCTGGGGGCAGCTTTGGGCACCCCAATATAAAAAAAGACAATAAGCCATTAGAGTCAAGAGGAGGGCGATGAAAARTGTTGAAGAGCCTTGAGGTGAAGCCTTGTGAGGGGATGCTGAGGTTACTTGGTCTGTTCAGCCTGGAGAAAAGGAGACTGAGGGGAGACCTCACTGCAGTTACAGCTTCCTCATGAGGGGAGCAGAGGGRCCAGCACTGATCTCTTCTCTGTGGTGACCAGGGACAGGAGCCGAGGGAAGGGCCTGAAGTGTGTCAGGGGAGGTTTAGGTTGGATATCAAGAAAAGGTTCTTCACTCAGAGAGAGGGTGTTTGTGCACTGGAACAGGCTCCCCAGGAAAGTGGTCACAGCACCAAGCCTGACAGAGTTCAAGAGTGCTTGAACAATGCTCTCAAGCACATGGTGTGACTCCTAGGGTGTCCTGTGTTCCTTGTGGGTCCCTTCCAACTCAGGATATTTGATGAGTCTGTAAAAACACTTCCAACCTTTTCTTCAATTCCTATATTCTGTGGGCCCGTGAACAGAAAATACCATGCTAATATTTCAACATTTTGCTTGGTTTTCTACCCTGAGGCTCTGGAAGTGACTGAATTAGCTAAACTAGTTTGAACCAATGAATATTCTTTCGTTAAATTTGGATAGATTTGGAAAYGTTGCATTGGGAATTGTTTATTTGTTTGGAATGGAGCTTTTTGTGGTTTGGGTTTTTTTGTTTGTTTTTTTTTTAACAGCATGTGATCTTAGAGTCTTGTGTGTATGGGAATACCTCCTTGTGAATTTACAACATTTTATTTCGATATGTGAAACAACAGAAAACAGATTTGTGTCATTAGCACCTACCAATTCACCTTTAAATATTTTAAGGATGTATTTGCAACAATATGGTGAATGTTTCCTTTTAATAAATTATATCTCAATTTTCTAGTAAARTCCAGACATTTTGTAGTGATGAGCATTTTCAAGCTGTGGCCGTGACAGTGTTAGTTGAACAAGCTTTGGGAATAACCTTTTTTTTATTTATTGGGTAGACTTGGTAGACTCTGTGTCTTGTTGGAGCGTTGTGTTATTAAGCAGAAGAGATGTGCTGGTGGAAGTGCATAACTAAGTATTTAAGGGAATTATGAGGACTTGTCAGTAATTTCTGAGGTAAAACTTGGCTGGAGCAAGTTTGCTGGATACTGTTCTTAAAAATCTTAGTTCTCTCTTTAACTAAGGAAAACTCTAGGGTGGGTAGAGGATATCTTGTGTGCAAGTTGTCTTTGGGTTACAAAAGACTTGCAGGGAGCAGAGTCAGCATGACGAAAACACAGGACTGGGGGGTTTATTCACAGTTAAGTCTACAGAAGCTAGAAACTGATCCTCACTCTTCCCAGAAAAAAAAACTCAACATGTTGCATGTGAAGGAACAGAAATAAGTATATGTAAAAATTCTAGGCAAGCACATACATTGTATGTTTACATGAGCATTGTGAAAGCACAAATAATCCCATGAGAAGTACTTGATGGCTATTTAGTGAATTTTGATTTTTAAAAGTATAAA